AGAGAGAGAGAGAGAGAGAGAGTGGGGGAATGACATGCGGGGAAAGGAGCCACAGGCTGGATTCGACCCTGGGACCAAAGCCCCTGTACAATGGAGCGCGTGCACCAAAACTGCTCCACCAGCGCCAATGAACTGTCAATGTTATGCATTGAATAAACTGAACTACGCCTTTTGGTAGACGTCATGTTGAATGTGCATGCAGACAAAATGCACTGAAAGTCTGACAGTATTGATTTGAAAGAGGGCTGTGCCGATGTAATCATATATTATCCTATATCCACATTCCAGCTGATCACCTTGTGTTTGTCGTGGCACTGAGCGGTTAATGACGTTGACATGCAGATCATGTTGACTCTGATCACAGAGGGGATGAGGTCACAGAGCGCTTCATCCTCATTGTGCTGATTGGCACTGACTCACCCTGACTTCCTGTTTTCAGATTCGCAAAACACATTCAGACAACTTCATTACTGCTGGAAATTAAAAAAAGAAAGGGTTGCTTTTTCTCCTAGCCACATGATAATACTGATCACTGTCGTCATGGCTACAGTACCATGTCACACAGGTAACTGTTTCTTTTGCAATAATATGAATTCCCACCAGATATATGTCTTTAAAATACATAAGCAGAGATTATGGAAATGTCGTTGGGACGTAGATAATCATCCTAAATAATCATTACCTGAGAAAAAGCAGCAGATGACGACTTCAGGTTTAACTGGAGACTGAAGTTGTGAGTTGTCAGAAAGCAGCTGGATTGTAAGGAAGGTAAACAGTTTGTGAAGTCCTTGAACCTGGACTGGCACGTGTGGAAACTTGTGAGCCTGCCAGAGCTGGATTAAGGCGTTTGCAATCCCTTAAAAACACCGATCGCTTTTGCTCTGTCTCTGCTGTGCTAGTCTCTATATTATTGTAAAACAGAGTATTTTTTTTAGGGATTCAGACTTTTTCCAGATATTTTAAGTGGACTGTGAAAGTGCATCCTTGGATTTTGGTGACACTGACTTACAGTAAATCGTAAATTGTCAACCAAACCTCAACGTAGAGAAGAGCAGAAGAATTTAATAGGAAACTTTTCTTTGGTAGACAAAGTTAGTCAGGGACAAAATGTTTTTTGAAAACTCTGGGGGAAAAACGCTTGACTGTGAATCTTGAGCTGCACATTTATGACATGATGTAGGCGGCTGTGGCTCAGTTGGTAGAGTTTAAATAATAGCACATTTGTGCCAGTTGACCTGCACTAACTATTCCCAGGAGGGTGAGATAAGTCGACGACGAGATGATGTTCCCCCTCACAGGAAGTATATAACTGGGATGATCAAATGATACACCGACAGTCATTTTAATATGACCACACGCTCAGCTTTGATGTGACCTAAAAAAATATTTTCTTCTGCCCAGCAACAGGGGCACAGTGGATGCCAGATGAGTAGATCTGAAATAGATTTGCACTTGAGCGTCACCTCTCTAGTTTAAAATGTAAAGAGCAGTAATAAGTGTTGTTAATGTGGGTGTCTGGTAGTAGAGGTGTGAATCTCAGGGTAAGTCACAATATGATAACATACCATACAATACAATATAATACGATATGATACTGTGGCCACAATGGAAGGTCGGGGGTTCAATCCCCAGCTCATGCAACCACATGTTCAGTGTGTCCTTGGGTAAAACTTAACCCCAAGTTGCTCCTGCACAGCGGCCCCTGAAATCTGTTCAGTTTTTTGCTTGAATAAAAATATTGATATTTGGCACCAGTGAATATGATGATTGTATCACACAAGTAAGGACAATAACAATATTGATGTTTTTGTCCAAAGCCTTTCTGGTTAAACTACAAACTTATCTTTCCTGCATTGAACTTTGACAATTTTTTTTATAAAGCACACATTCAAAAGAAGGTCATGATTATATAACAAGCTAAAGGTACCAAAAGTCTGCTTTCGGTTGATTTAAAGGAAATTAAATAAAAAAATATCCAATCACAGCTGCTCAATTATTTGCAAAGCCAGTGTCTTCATGTTTATTCAATCTCTAAAACGATTATAAAGCAAGAAGAACGGCCTTGATCTTGTCCACAGCAAAAAATGAAAAAGCTCATCAGTCCATCACAGAAGAGTGAAGGGCGAGAAGAACTGTAATGTGTGCACAGAAGTCTGATAGAAAAGAGACTTTGAACAACCTCAAATTGAATTTTAGAGGAAGTCGATTTATTGTGAGGGGCATGTAAAAGATTGTAACCTCTTGCTTTCTCTCGTTTTCTCTCTTCCAGGAGATAATAACGGATGGCCACATCTTTTCGACAAGTATTTTGGAATGCCGAGCTCAGACACAGGGACCAGGTCCAATTTATGCCGTGAGTATCCTGGTTCTTTGATTATTCATATTTGTACTGTTGTACTGTTGTTCAATCTGTTCCGGAAAAAGCTTTCCTAGATTCCCTCCCTCTTCTATAATAGGGCTGCCGATTGAATCTGCTTTAATGACCAGTGTAAGGTTGAACCATTCATTTGTCACAGCTGAGATATCATACATATTCTCCCAGGGACCTGTTAAAAACTTTCTGTGAAGTTACCGAGGTTTATCAAATTTGCTTCTAGTCTTTATCTGTAAGTGAGAAGCCAGGAAAGGGGTCATTCCCTCATGACTCCAACTGGTTTGCTGGGTTGATTTTGTGGATGTTTGGTGAGCTTTCTTGGGGAGGTAAGAATACAGTTCTGGATGCATTAGACTTCTCCCAGACAGATAAATATCACGCAATCCACTTCTATTGATTTTTACATGAAGCCCTTTTTTGAAATTCAGAGTGACATGACGATGCAAAAAAACTGAAAAATCAAAGTCGACTTCAGACATTATTTTTTAAACTCTTTAAAGGAGCAAAATTTAACTCTGACACCTGGTGTTTAAAATGGGTACTGCAGTCCAAATTGTAAACATTGTAGAGAGCTGTCTCCCCCCCCCCCGCCCCCTCCTCTCTAGAGTGGATGCTCACACAGGTCACCATGTGGTGGACTCTGAAGCTTCAGTGTTTATCCAGCTCTGCATGGGTCTGTAAACCTTTCTGTGTTCTAACCTCTCTCCATTTTTCAAAAGCATCTCCAATATTGATCCTAGTTTGAGCACGTTTCTGCTCGTGGAGCTTATTAGAAACATGCAGAGGCTTTTTAGGTCGGGTACAATCACTTCTATCTGAACCACTTCTCTTGCTCGCTTCCATCGCTGCAACACCTGTTGGTTTGACGTTCAAAAACACTGTTCCCTTTCGTCCGTCTGGCATGTTTAATCACCTTTCAGATAACTTATTTCCTTTGAGTTGAACTGCAGCATTTTGCCTTAAGAGAGTCAGGGGAAGCTCTGGAGTTAGAAACTAAACTGGAGGGATTTGTGCCTCTATTTTCCTCTCTTGAAGAAAACAAGTTCCAGCCAGCTGCTACTCAAACTTCAATCTTTTTCCTTCTTTCTATCTGGGGATTAAAAGAGCACTCCTACAGACAATCAAAACCCAGTCCATCCAAACCCTAAGAGAGAGAGAGGAGTTATACTCAAAAGAACCTGTTTGTGCAACATGTTGTGCGACCACATTTGAAATCAGAAGTGTCTAAAGTTGTTCTGAGGGCTGCAGTCAAAGGCAGAGAGAGAGATAGGCTGACCATAACCGAGAGAAAAGGCAATAAAGGCCTCTCCTGGAATGCATTCACGCTGTTTCTGTGAAAAGGATGAGAACGTTAGGAAATAAAAAAAGAGAGAGCGAGAGAGGATGTTCACAGCCTGCCTCTTATCTCTCCTCTGCACAGAGGAATCTCAGCTGAATCACAGTGTGAAGTCGGGACGGAAATTGGATTATTAGTTTGAGAAATGACTATAACTAAAGATTATTAAAAAAAAAAAATCTCGTTCCAGTTTCTAGAGTGGAACATATTAAGACCGACCCTGCTCATTAAAGAATTCCCACTGGAGAAGATGGATTTTTTTAGGGGTCTTTTTATGCTTTTATTGGATATGCAGCCCCTCACATACAGAAAAAAACTATTTTTTATGTATTCCTATTTTACACTGTTTCTGTTTCTTGTCAGTATGGATACTGCTTTCACTTTGGTTGCTGTCATTCTATTTGTATACTTACTGTAATGCATCAATAACACCAAAAGACAAATTCTTTCGACATGTAAACCTCTTGGTATTTGTTGTTATGGATGTAATCTCAGTGACGTCACCCATTGGTTTCTGAAGGGGGGAATGCTGTTCTCACACAAACTTTCAGTCAACGAATCGGGTAAAGATCTGGAGCTGAGGCCAGACTAAAGCCTCCTGACAGACCTCTACAACGTGCCCACGAGTCTGATTAGCTCATGTCTCGATCGGCACACGCTGTACGGGGGGGTAAAGGTTTGTCAAGAGGCTTAAAACCCGCCTCAGCTCCAGCTCTCAGCCTGTCGTTAGGTCGAATGAAAGTTAGACTGAGACAGCATTTCCAGCATGGAGACTGCCTTCAGTTAGACTCCAGGCTTCAATCATTAATATTTACAGACTTCCTCCTCATGCTGTTAATCATGTTGTCTGTCTTCTTCCCCATTGCAGCAATTTAAAACACTTATGTAGAAGTATTAAGTGTATGGTCGCTGATGGTCATGCTAAGAACTCCTCACAGGAGCATTATGGACGTTTGCCTTCATTTCGGTTTGGTTGAAATGTACTCTTTAAGTGTTATTTATCTACTGCGCTGTAGGTCATTTTTCCAGTTTTACCTCCCTGCGCTGGTTTTCAAACAAATCAGTTTTAATGAGCTTTCCAAATAACACATAAACTCTGACAGGTTTTCTCTCTTCCTGCAAATCAATGGAGCTAATTTTTACTGTCAACTACATTCAGTTCATTTTTGACAGCAGTATTTAATTAGTATGACATCTGTTTGAGCAGCGGTAATGCATGTGTCGTCTAAATGTTGACATATCGTGTCTGCACTAAATCACACAACATGACAACTCAATCAGTTTAGAGGAGGTAAAATTGTCCAGGTTTGTTTATTTGTCAACATTATTCTGACACAGAAGATTCAGTTATTTTTCTGAGTAAGTTTCTCTCTGCTCATGCATCCTGCTTCTCCCAATAATCTGACAGCAGTTTCAAAACAAACGCCCACGCTTCCTTCCACCTACTATTAATTCCAGCTTCTGAATGTGTACTGTAAAAAGAAATAGAAAATACACTCACTGCTGTATTTACAAAAGGAACACCCACCAGGTTTCGCCTGTTGTTGTTCTTCTTAAAGAAAGAGGATAGAAGGTTTTTGTTTACACCAACATGATCTTGAAATGACAGCCAATCACAACTTAAAAAAATAAGTTTTCTTTTACTATTAAGAGTTTCTCTGTGAGCCTGTGTGTAAGAAACGTGCTCTTCTCCGCTGTGAATATCGACTCTGGCTGTGTGAACAACATGCAAGTTAGGAAGCTTAGAGTAGCAGCAAGACACAAAGTGCTTTGACCAACAAAGCAAAGGCAGGAAATATAACAGAATAAGCATCAATAGTCAGGATACACAAAGGCAAGAACAAAATGCCAAAGTAAAAAATCAGTAAAAATACATTTATATGCAGATTTAGAGTAGAAACAGCAGCAGCCGTGAAAGTGAATAAAATAATAAAGGCACTGGGATTAATGATTATAAGAAGATTAAAGATTATAAAGGGATTATAAGAAGACGACGTCACATCACAGGAAATCAAAAAATGATTCATCATGGATGTTGCTTAGAAAATGTAATCTCAGCCTTTGTATTCTTCAGAAAAGCTGCAGGATTGACTCTTTCACACCCCACAGCATTTCTTCTGCCCTTCATCTTTCTAGTGCTGGGGATTTTCCCTGAGCTCTGCCAGTGTCGAGACCTGGAGCTTGACTGTGACGGCGCTCAGCTTCGAGACGTCCCGGTGGTGGCTGTGAATGTAACGATGATGTGAGTGGAAAACTAAATGATGCTTCTATTCAATGTTGTGAGATTGAAGTGCGAAGGAAGCCTCCACTCTGGCTGTGAGTGTAAAGGCAGAAAAGGGCAGCCACAGATGAGAGATGACCTCGCCTTCATTGAGAGTACCAGCATTTGCAATTAGATGATTTAGTGACTCAATTGAAGAGTTTAAGGGGAGACTGTGGGAGTGGAGGTGAGTAATGCGACCCACGGTCACAAAGCATGCTGAAAAATATGAATCCTTTATATTCTTTAAAGAGCTGGAATAACATGCTTGTAATTTTGTCAAATTAAAAAAAGTTTCTTTCAGACATTACGAGTAAGAGTTTTATCTTTTGAAGATATTTGAATATTTTAAAGGTCACGTGTCACACTACTTTTAAACCAGTGTAAATAAGTCTCATAAGTCAGAGCTCCCCAAAACATGTGTGTGAAGTTTCTTGTTCTAAATCCACTCTGATCCTGTATTTGATCATGCCTATAAACCCCTCTATTTCAGCCCTGCTCAGAACAGGCTGTTTCTGTGTCTGTAGCTTTAAATATGTAAATGAGCTGTGTCTGACCACGCCCCCTCTTTGGAAGGGCTCAGGTGGGCTCAGGCTTTCTCGCTCCATGTCCTATTGTTTACGGTGAGAAGGCAGACTCAGAGGGCAGAACAAACACCTAGCTGTGGGAGTGTCACCCACCTGGGGGTAAAGTCCTGTTTAGGAAATAAGAGTAAAATAGTATAAAGAGCAGCAGTAGGTCAAAGCTTGATCCAAAGGCAAGTGGACTCAGTTGAAGATCCTAACTTTCACCTCTCCTCCGAAAGGCTTCTCCAGTTCAAAGCTTCTTCCAATGAGCTGGAGCTTTGTATCTGGATTGTGACCAATTTATATAAAGTTGAGAGTGTTATGTCACCTTGAAAGTCTTAACAACCAGGCAATTATGTTTTAATTATAATCTCTTGTCTTCTTCCTCACTCATATGTCATAATTTCCTTGTAATGCATAATATTAGTATAATGAATACCTTCTAGCTATTACAATCATCATTATCTATCAAGTGACAGCATCGCCTCGTCTTCCTCTGAAAACTTTGCACATTTCAAGACAGCTATTAACAAATAAAATACTGGATCACACAAATGCACCTTTATTACATCTGCCTTGAGTGATTTATGTGCTCCAGTGTTTCCTTCGGATCCCGTCTTGAAGAAGGTATCCACTGAATCATTTTTTGTAGGTCTTTAAGATCCTGGCACATCAAGGAGATCGTCGCCCTAGTTTTTGCAGTGTGTCAGGCTCCTTCTGCCCCTGTCTGCATTTTTTGGCTGATTCGACATGTTGAATCAGCGTCGGCCGGCGCGGTTGGTGAGATGAATCACTCAGATTGGCTGTTCAGCTAATCATGAGAAGAATCAGTGCATGAGAAGAAAGACAGAAGTGACGAAAGCAAGTAAACGACTTCAACTTTGTATCAGACATTATCCTCGATTAGAAGTACCTATACTGCGAGTGTTGAGCGACAGCGGTGTGGAAATGGTCTCCTCATATCATAACAACGTTTTATATACCTGCATTCTTCTCCGTCCTCGTCCTCTTCCAGTTTATCCCTTTTTGGAATGACGATTACAGACTACCGCCCCCTGCTGGCATGGAGAGTGCAAGAGTTTCCTTCTACACGACAGGACTAGCATTCTACTAATGTTTTGTTGAATCAGTTTTATCTTTTAATATCGCACAACCTGGTTTTATGTCCCTGTCTAACATTCATCACACTCTATTAAACAGGATCATAACAATGAAGGTATAGTTTGTGGTAGTCGGGTCTGATGCAGGCTGATCTGCAGGGCGCGGTGTTAGAGTTCATTGAGATGTGTTATCTCTCCTTTGGAGTCATCTTCAATATTAGCCGCCGCAATACCATCCTGTAGGTAAAATGTATGCAAGCTGAGGGAGAAGGCATTTCTCTTTATTATTGTGATAAATTCAGACTTTTGTGATGGGTTTTTTGCAATAATCATGAAATTGCATTTGATTGAGCAGCATGAATCAAACCTCACATTAAACTATTTTCTTGATTTATGTCACATAACCTCACTGCTTTGATACATTTAGCTGCTGTACTACAACAGTTTTGATAAGCTGATTTCCAAAAGCAGATCTTAAAGCACCCTTTTTGACTCTTTGTGAAAGAAACTTCCAACAAGTGGAAAGAGAAGCCATGAACAGATGGTGTTTATCAAACTGAAACCATTTATTTACTTCAGGTTTGAGCTGTTTAAACAGTCCGCTAAATCCCAAGAATCCACAGAAAAGTAGGTAAGTTTAAGTAGAATATGAACATCTCAGTGTTTTTACAATCAGTACGTCTGAAATGGACCAGAATCAGATCTAAGTAGGGAGGTAATACTGTGTGCCATAAAGATGTGAGCCCATAGAGACGCTGTTTAAATCTTAAGAGTCCCAAAACTGACCCCCTCCATGTGCTCAATGCTACAATAATGTTCTTTGAATGGATTATCCTTCAATCAGACTCTAATCCGTTAAAAGCTTCGGAACCTCTTTGAGATCTTTTATCAAATGCTAAATAACAGAAGGATGTAAATGACCAGTTTTACAGATTGGATTATCTGGTAATCGTCTTATTATAAAAGACGATTGTTGTGTTTTTTATAAAGTTGGAACGTCTTCTTTAAAGTTTTGAGATATTTGTTACCTGCCTACCTAAGGTGGTTTCAGACAGGGCTGTAGGTTTTGTTTCAATATTAAGCCAGACACGTATTATATGCACATGGTGTCGACTTCTCTTCTTACAAATCCATCTAACACACACTCGACTTTTTCCAATAGTCGGACTAAACAACGCTTCTTCACTCTTCATTGGCTGTGTGTGTGAGAGTGAATCCTCTCAGGTCCAGCATGCTTCTGCCCGAAGAACGAGAGCAATCCACCAACAGATCAATTCATCTTTATTTGTGTGGCACCAATTCATCACAAATGTTATGTTAAGACACTTAAGAAAAAGAGCAGGGTCTTGTCCGTACTCTAAACATTAATCCACCATTCTGCACCAATTCTCCAATTCACTTAGCAGACGCTTTTATCCAAAGCGATGTACATCAGAGAGAGTAAGTACAACACAATGAAGGATCTAGAAAAGAGGAAACGCATCAGTAAACGATCAGCTTTGAGTCTGATTGGACACACAGGTGCTGACAGGAAGTGACCAGAGGCAACGCACAACATTGAGGGCAGTTCTTGAGAGCTCTAATCAGTATAGAAACCATCTTATAAGTCGTCGTTATCAAACCAAACCATCGTCATTACCATCATCATCATCAATAATATGGAGACAAGCGTCATCATTAAGGTTGTGGGTATCCATGAAAGAGCCGGGTCTTTAGCTTTTGCTTAAAGGTGCAAAGGGACTCGGAAGATCGAATGGAGTTTGGGACCATGAGCACAGCACAAAGCAACATTGAGCATATATCCAGTGGAGAGGAAAAACTGCCTTTTAACAGCCAGAATAATACATGAATATTTACAGTAAGTGAGCTGCATTAATACATATGCCTGCAGAGAGAGAGAGAGAGAGAGAGAGAGAGAGAGCGAGAGATTAACTATATGCGTTATTGAAAAAGTTTTTTATCTACTCTGTAAAGTAGAGAATTTGTCTGCCTCCCGAACCCTGACTTTTGGTGCCAGACACCAATAGTTCTTTGCCGTCTGCTTGGTGTGTCGGGGCCTTAACACAAGACATGAAACACACATACAAGAACTACAAAAGTCAAACAGGAAACACTGAAGACCCAAAGAGAGCTCAAGAATATAACAGAAACAAATACACTTGAGGAGGAGTGAGAAACACGATGGAAGGAAAGGATCAAATCAAACACAAAACAACAGAAACTAAATCAAAGGCATGAAAAGGCTAAGACCTCAATCTGAATTGTTACATAAAACCTCTTCCTATCTTTCAGGTCTCTTCAAAGAAATCACCTTCACACACTGAAAGCAAACATATTCTTCAAATACCAGAGCCTGCAGAAGCTGTGAGTATCCCATGAATTATGGATTATATGTCATTTTAATATAAATGGTGTGATAGATATCCCGGTATACATAATGTATTTTTCCACATTTCTACAAGTACTTATTATTTTGATTTTTATCGGCACTCTGTTCAGTCTGTTGTCTTGCTTTCATGAAAGCCCCATTTATAATAAAACACTATTATTACCATGCATGAGAGGCTATATGATTAATTAAGTTTGAGCCCAGCATCTGCCACAGAGCGGAGATAATAACTATCCTTTGAATGACAGATACAACAAAGTGTTTCTGAACTACAAAGCGGATGTGTTTAAGGCAAAGATGACTTGAGGGGAACAGTGACAGAAGCCATTGTTCTGTTCTGCATATGGATTCATTCATTGCCGACCTAGTTCTTATCTACCACACACAGAGAACAGGTCTTATCCTCAGCCAGGAAACTGTTTGCCGTGTCAGACTGTCAGCCTTCAGCTTCTGAAGCTTCAACCACAGTGAAAACTTTCTGTAGATATACATAAATAAAAATCAGAATGAATAACACAAAAGGCTGAACGTAGATGTCTGCGGAGGTCTGTTGGGATGAGTGTGACTGAAGGATTCAAGGAGATCTATTATCCTCACTTTCACCATTAATTATGTCAGTCTGGAATGCCCATTAAGTAGGAACATTTAATTTCAGCTGTTGTCTCTTTTAGACCCGCCTCCCCACGAGCACACTTTCCTCCGATTGGCCAGCTCTGTTTGTAGTTGCAGGGAAATTAGAGTGGGCTTCAGGGTGGGCGTGTCCTAGAACTCTGCTCTGGGACAACGGCAGAACCTGGGGTCAGGTTCTGGTCAAGTCTCACAAAGATCCCGAAAAGTCTCGTTCAGAGCAGCAGGAAACCACGTCCAGGGATTGCCCCAACAACTGTTTATCTTGTGTTTAAAACCGTTGCCATGGTTTATTATGGACCTCCAACATGGTAACATAATAAGGATGTTTTTAAATATGGTTCAACATAATAGATCTCCTTTAAACGTCTGCACCAGAATAACTCGTGCATATTTAGACCTAAAACTGCCTAAAACCTTCTAAAAACCTCAGTGATGTTTGAAAACGTTATGTTACTCATCAAAAATCTGGAAAACAAAGTTCGCTTACCTTATTAAGAAATCAAATCTGAGGAAAAGTATGGCAGCTTTAATTACTTCAGTTAATAATAAACATCAAAGCAATTAAAAGTGGCCGGTCTAACTATTTCAATGACATTTAGAAAACACAAGCAATAAAAAAGGGACTTCAATTTAATGAAATTTAATCCCTACATGGGACGTAAATTAAGATTGTTTAGTGCGTGCATCACATGTGCGGAGGCCACATGCCTCGTGGTGTCTGGGGTTTGAGATGCTTGTCATTTGCATGTCATCCCTCGACTCTCTTCTACTAACTTTTCCTGTCACTCTTCACAGTCCTATGCACATAAATGTCACAAAACTGAGCAAAAATTATATATTTAAAATGTTTTTTTTTCTTATCTTTATCTTTAAAATGAATTAGGATTGTATGAATACATGACATATTGTTACAGTGCAGATAAAAGTTTCTCCAATGTCAAAACAGGAAGTGAAAGTGAGGTAAATAAAAGAATCAATGACACGCACCAGACTACAGTTTCAGAATAGCATTTTTTTGTTCTGAATCCAATATGTTCAAATGTTTTATAAACATTGCACTCAAAGTAAAGACATTTGTGTTAGGTGGATTATTTTTGTTGTAACAATACTTCTTGGCAATACTTCTTGTTCGGTCGGAAAGCCTGTTTATTTCCCTTTTCAGTGGTGCCACATTTGTAAGGAACATGCATTTGTGGGATGAGCAGCAGAGACGAGTATGTGGGTTGCACCTATGAAAAACTTGCCAATCTTCTCTGCCACTGTCAAACTTTCTTTTTGTGCGATGTTTATGTTTTTCAACTGTTCCTGTGCTTCTTTTCACAGATATCTACAGCACAACAGAATTCAAGATGTGAGTCCTGACGCGTTCAGAGGGCTGTATAATCTTACAAGACTGTGAGTTCTGTTGATTCTTGTAACATTTGTCACATTTGGTTTTTGTAAGAATCTGCTTATGAAGGCTGTGTCTACATGATATACACAGAATGAAGCAGAGCATCAGCTCTGACGGACTCCTGAAGCTGAGCTTGCAGGAGATGAGTCAAAAGCTCTGGCTGTGTGCAACTCAGCTGGAAGGGAAAGTCTTATCATATTCAGACTACAAAATGGCCACTTCTCACTACTGCTGCTTAGATTTGTTGTGAGGAAGTCAGTGCTGAGCCCGCTCGCACACCAAAACAGAAAATGTGATGTTGCCCGTGCATTGCCACACATACACTCTTCCAAATATTGATTTAATTGTGTTGATTTAAAAAACTAAAAAGCCGTCCCGTCCATGTAAACACAGCTCCAACAACAACAACACAGCAGACAGGACTCGAGCTTCTTACTCATTGTAGACATTAGTGTGTCATGAGGATAGACCTGACTTCTGCTGTATTTATGTGTAATAATAATATATCTATACAAATCCCTCAGCTTCTACTCCAACTGTGAGCGAGTCCTTATCACCCTTGTGGCCTGAATACTAACTCTGTTGTGGCTGAAGGGGAGCGGCTCCCTGCAGTCAGGCTCCCAAAGATGTTAAAAATAGTTTTCCCCCCCGAGGAGTGGAAATTGTCACAGCAGCAGATTAATGCCTGTGGTTTTAAAATAACATGTTTAAATCTCACAATCACTTCATCGACGGTCTGTTAAACTTTATAAGAGAGTGGACCGCATATAGTAAGTATTAAAAAGAACTAGGCAACAGTTCGGGCTGCATGGTGTTTAGTTCTGTTGCCTCACGGCGAGGAGGTTCCTGGTTCAGATCCCCGTCTGAACCCGGGCTGCTCGCTTGGAGGACTATAGCCTCTGTACATAGGGCGCACACACTATCTGCTACACCACCAACACCCTGATAACAAACATTTTAAGGTTTTGTGTGTAATAATTTTTTTTTCATTTCTTGTCTCCTATTGTTATCATCCATCTTTATTTTATAAACGTGTTTTTGATCTCTTCATCTTTTTGAACAAACGACCTTTTGTCAATCGCTTTTCCACGCCTTTGTGAAGCACTTTGAATGTAATCGAATTTTTCTGAAAGGTGCTTTATGAATAAAGTTTGTTTGATTGGTTGAAACTACTCTAGAATACTTTGCTGTGCAATTAAAGAACGTGTTCTTTTTCCTTAAGTTTATTGAACTTTTTGTTTCCTCTCAGATATTTGAGCTACAACAAGATATCCGTCCTAATGCCCGGTGTGTTCAAGGACCTGCACAAGCTGGAGTGGTTGTATGTTCATCCTCCTCTGATGGATGCTTTTTCAAAAGAATATTAAACTACTGCATGCATGGAAAATAAGGATGTATTACCTTTTTGTAAATATTGGTTTTGGCATTGGACTTCTCTGATAAATAATCCGACTCATAAATCAGATTATTTTTCTGTGCAAAAGGGTAACGTCACAACCAAACCAGATAATGCAAATGAGAACGGCAACATGTATCCTGTGTTTTGTCGTTTTAGGATCCTGGAAAATAACAAAATCCATCAGATGTCCTCCTTGACCTTTTCTGGACTGAACTCTCTTGTGTTACTGTGAGTTTTTATTCAGATTTTCTCTGTTTTACTTTGCTGTGATGTCTGTCTGAAACCGTGAAAACTTCTGCTTTTAAAAGTCGTTGTTGTTTACTTCAGATTGAATGAGTGCTCCTCCTGAGCGTTGAAGGATTACGCCCTGTTACATTGTGTGTCTCTGATTGACAGGGTGATGCTGAACAACTCGTTGTCAAAGCTGGATGACATCTGTCATGAAATGCCGCGGCTCAACTGGCTGTAAGTGGCATGTCAACGCGTCAAAAGGCTGTTTTTAAAGATGACATGTTTGATGAATGCGCCCTGTCAGTGTTGCTGAGTGGGTCTCTGAATATGCTTTTCCTCTATGTGTGAATTTCTTAACATGTTGTTGCAGGGATTTGGAGGGAAATGTCATTGAAACCATTGGAAACGTCTCGTTACACTCCTGCAGCATGCTGACAGTTCTGTGAGTATACATTTAATAGCAAAGAAAACATTTGTGGTTTTTTGACCTGAATCCGCCTCAGTTTCTCAAAATGTGTTTTTGCAGCTACATGCCCATATTCCCAATTAATTCTGACAGTTCATTTTAACTTGACTTGAAGGATCATAGTGTCTATCTGATTCTTTTTTGGTGTCGATTTGTTGCCTTTCTTCAGGGTCTTACAGAGGAACAGGATCAGCCACATCCATGAACAAGCGTTTTCAGTCCTCCAGAAGCTCGGAGAGTTGTAAGTTAATTTTGTTTGCTTGTGCAAAAACACAGTATTAGACTAAAATAAATAAAGCAACTGTGCAAAATACAAATGTAAAAGAGGCTACATGTTAGGGGTGACAGACTGTGGAATTATTTTCTGATTTATTCAGCAGAGGTCAGACGACACATTCTGTAGCAAGGCATGAATGACTGACAGACATTTCATTCACAAAAGATAAAAAGATGAATGACAGTTAATGCAGCTAAATGTTGACACTCGTGGAAGTTCAGGGTTACACTACAAGATGGAGTTTTAATGTTTTTTTCTTATATTGTTGCCAACATCCGAGCAATTAAAGGCTTGAAAGTGAGAGCACCGTCGATAAAGGACCAGAGGGACTGAAACATTGTGTTGTTTTTCTAATAGATGAGGATGCTGAGCCAGAGTAACGCGGCTATAGTTTGACGTCCTACCTCATGAGATAGTTGGATGTGCAAACGCCTCCTTTAAAGCAATGAAATATATGTTTAAAGAAGAAAGGTGATACAGAAGAAATCATTTAACACACGTCTTCTGAACCATAATCAAACTAATGCGACATGCTTTTTCCAGCTGTGGCTCAGTGTTAGAGTTGAGCATCTCTCAACTGAAGGTTGGGAGTTCGATCCCCAGCTCCTGCAGCCACATGTCGGGCAAAATACTTAACCCAAAGTTGCTCCCGCTGCTTTGTCTGCAGTGTATGTGTATGAATGGATTAGTTAATACTGATGGACACTTCTCTGCCGTCAGGGTGTGGAGGTGTGGAGGCTTGTGGTGTATTCAGCGCTTTGAGTAATCAGAAGAAGCTTGTTGTTATTTTGTGATATTAGAATGATTCATGCTATGTCACAGTATCGATACACTTCTTGAGAATCCTCTTGGTGTTATCGAAACTCGAGCATCAATGTTATTGTTCACAAATCAAAGCGACTTCAACCAGCGCCTCTCACTTCAGGGTCTTTCTCATTACTAACTCACAAACAACAAGTTAGGAGCAGCTTGTTATGCAGCGTTTTCCTTTTACTTCTCTTCTGTACTCCTTCGAGTGTTGCACACAAGTGTCTGTCTTTGATCGCTCTGTGTGTCTTTCCTTTAATGTGCTTTAATGACAGGATTACAGACACTTCTGCAGCTATTAAAAGCCTCTTGAGTCCAAACAATTCTTGTTCTTCTGAAATCTCTATTGATTGATTTTGTCGTCGGAGAAACAATCTGTTGTAAAATAACTTCTACCACCAATTGTTGACACCGCCAAGCGACCTGCGGGGACGCAAACATGAAGTGACGCAGAAACACAATAGCAGGCTCCTGCTGGCGGGGCCGTCAGGACTTCCACTGTCATTACTTGAACTACACACATGAAAAGGTGTGATTGCTTTTTAGAAGGACTGCAGTGAGTGTTATTGATTCCAAATGTATTTGGTTGATTGGTCTCTGAAGCGGTTACAGACACACTCATGTGGGAGATTTTAAGGTGGAAAAGGAATGAAAAAAAGAGTAGAATAAGTGGATGATAAATAATACATCTGTATATGTGAATAAAGCTTAAGAGAGTAAGGTGGGAATGGGAATAAAAACAAGAGAAAAGGGAGCGTATGAGAAAGCTTTGAGTAGGAAAAATGGACAGAAAAAAATAAATAAACTAAATAAATAAGGAGTAGACAAGGAACCAGACTGAAGAAAAAAGAGCAAAGGAGAAGAAAAAGTAAATAATTGAAACAAACCAAATAAGAAAAGGAAAAAAAAGAATATGAGTCAGGAGAGGTATGAAGAATAGAGGAGGAGGGGGAAGTATAACAGAAGAGTTTAGAGTACTGCACAGGTGTGCTGGGATAGAAATAGAAAAGTGCTTCCTTGTTGTGTCGGCAACACGACTACACACTCTTAAGCACACATGTGAGAGTCATGCCGTCATCCTCAAACCAGGTCAAAAGCACGCTGACTGGGTGAAGCCGCTGCAACCGGGTGCAAGCGGGTTGCAGAGGTAAAAAACGTCCTCAATTAACACTCGATTAGATTTGATTAGAAAACTTCATACAACAAACTTTACCTACAGTACAATAATAATACACAAGTAAATCAATAACAAA